AGGGATTTCTATACAAGATACCTATTAGCCATAAAAGAAACATTAGTAAATATCACTCTCTTAAAACAGAACTTGTGGGAGTTGGCAGGTGACGTGGTGGACTCCCACGTAACAGGCTGCAGTTCGAGTCCTGGACCTGGTGGCATGCTTTCTCACTTTCTCTCTTGTTTGCTCTCTCTCTGGTCAAATTTAAATAAATAAATATAATTATCAAAAAAAAAAAAAAACTGAGAACTTGTGTTTATCAAAAGATATCCTAAAGAGAATGTAAGAACAAGCCACATTGTAGATGATTGCAACTTATTTAATGAATAATGGATTAATATACAGAAGGTATAAAGAACTCCTACAAATTGTTTTAAAAAATAGCACAGTTAAAAACAGGAACAGATGGGAACCAGCAGTTAGCGTAATGGCTATATCACTGGACTCCCACGTAGTCGACCACAGTTCGAGTCCTAGACCCGATGACTTAACACTCATGCCGGGCTCATGTGCGTGTGTGCCCAAGATCCCGAGAGGAGAATGGAGCAGAAGGGATTGTTGCGTGACCATCCCCTCTGGGGGGTGATTTCTCGCTTTCTGTCTCTATGTCTCTCTCTGTCTGTCTGGCAAGCGCATACACCCTATATCGAAAACCCCTCAAAAAAAAAAAAAAAAACAGGAATAGATGACTTAAAACAGGCACTTCACAAACATGTATATCCAAATAGCCAGTGAACATATAAATTAGTCATTGGTGAAATAGAAATTAAAATCAGATACCACTATACACCTATCAGACGACTAACATTTAATAGTCTGTCAAAATTAAGCACTGGAAAAAATGTGCATCATAGAGAATTCTCCCTCCTCACTGCTGAGAATCAAAAGTGCCCATCTACTTTGGAAAACACTTTTGTTTATCTAATAAAGTTGAGAATAAGTATGACCTGAGACTCAGCATTTTGACAAGGCACAGATCCTAAAGAAACTCAGTGTGTGGAACAGGATAAATATACCATAAGGGTCATAACAGTGTTATTTGCCATGGTCCCAAACTGAAAACAATTCAAATAGCTATCAAAAAACAAATATCCACACTAAGGAATACTATGCTGTAGTGAGAACCAAAAAAGCTACCTACCACTAGTACCTACAACTACCTAGCATTTATTTAGTTTGTTGGGTTTTTGTTTGTTTGGTTTGGAGAGGTTTTTGCTATAGGGAGCGTGCGCTTGCCAGAAAGACAGAGAGAGACAGACAGAAAGCGAGAAATCACCCCCCGGGGGGGATGGCCACACCGCAATCCTTTCTCCCCCATTCTCCTCTAAGGATCTTGAGCACTCACGCACACGCGCCCAGCGTGAGTTTAAGCTGCCAGGTCCGGGACTCGAACTGCGGTCAACTACATGGGAGTTCAGCAACATAGCCATTACGCTAACTGCTGGTCCCATTTGTTGTTTGTTTTTACTCTAAAATATAAACTGTATAAAACCATGAACAGTTTTGTCACTGCTCTATCTGCAGCTTCTTTAACAGCTCCTCGTACATAGTACCATAAAATAGGCACCCAGAGAAATGAATTGAAAGATTTTAATATGGAGATTCTGGGGGATGGCAGGTGGCATGGTGATTAAGGGTGCTGGACTCCCACATGGCCGACTGCAGTTCGTGTCCCTGACCTAATAGCTTGCTTTCTCTCTCTCTCTCTCTCTCTTACTCTCTCACTCTCCCACTCTGTCCCTCTCCGGTCAAATTAAAATTAATTAATTAATTAAATAAAGTTCAATAAAATAATTCTTAAAAAATGGAGATTCTGCCTATAAAAATTTGAAATCTTTGCATTATTCTTGGCCTATCTATAAAAATATCATTGATTTTTATATATGGATCTTGTACTTATTCCAATTGTATTTTTGTGGGCTTCTTAGAATTGAAAATTCAGAGCCTTTGAAATATTTAATAGGGAACCAACAGCATAATGGCTATGTCGCTGGACTCCCATGTAGTCGGCCGCAGTTCACGTCCCGGACCCGGTGGCTTAGAACTCACGCTGGGCGCGTGTGCGTGCATGCCCAAGATCCTGAGAGGAGAATGGAGGAGAAGGGATTGTGGCGTGACCATTCCCCCTGGGGGGTGATTTCGCTTTCTGTCTCTATGTCTCTGTCTGTCTGGCAAGCGCACGTGCCTTATAGCGAAAACCTCTCAAAAATAAAAATTTAATAAAGTTCAATCACTAAAGAAAAGTACTATAAATAGTAAAGATGTTGAGAAAAATATTGAACATCTAAAGAAATTGTGCCCTCAGATTATTTCCTAAGGGTCTAGTTTCTCATTTTAAGTAAATCAAGACTAGAAGTCATAGTTATGCTTTTTTGGTGTGGTTCTCATAGAAATTTAGCCCCAGGATCCTTTCTCAAAGAAAAGACCTTATTTGTTTCTTCTTCAAAAGAATAACAATTGAAAACATTTTTGTGTTTTAAGTTAACATGACATGTTTAAAACATGTTACTTTTTCCACAATTTTTTGCTTTTGACTTTTTAAATTGATTGATCTTCTCAACCAACCATCAGTCCTAGTTGCATGAGATAAGAGGCTTTTACCATTGTAGAATTGTGCAGGAACAAGGAACATAAGTTATAGCCTAGAGCAGTGGTTCTCAAACTTTGCAGTCGATCATCACCTGAGCATTAGTGGAGTGAAAACTTAGACAACTGAGAAGTATTTCAAGGCTGTACTTCTTTTAGATATTTTTTTTTTTTTTTTGGAGAGGTTTTTTGCTATAGGGCGCATGCGCTCACCAGAAAGACAGAGAGAGACAGAGAGACAGAAAGCGAGAAATCACCCCCCAGGCGGGATGGCCACGCCACAATCCCTTCTCCTCCATTTTCCTCTTGGGATCTTGGGCACGCATGCACATGTGCCTGGCATGAGTTTAAGCCACCGGGTCCGGGACGTGAACTGTGGCCGACTCTACAATGGAATCCAGCAACATAACCATTACACTAACTGCTGGTCCCTCTTTTAGATCTTTTTAACAAACTCCTCAAGTTTGAGAACCACTGTCCAGAGTATTACTTATATAGATATATGTGGAGGCCTATGGGATTCAGAGAGTAAGTATTCAAGATGATCATTTGGATGTAGGAAGGAAACATGACTTTCTTATTTTTATTTATGTCACTGTCTAATTTGTATGTTTATTATATTAACTTATTAATACATTAATACATATAAATAAATGTGAATATATTTTTAAGGATGAGAAGCTAATCAAAATAAGTCACTTAGGTAACCTCTTTCTTCAATAGTCAAAGCAAAATATAATGGAGGAATGTCCAATTTTATTTTCCTATAACTGAAACATTTTAATTTACTTTCTTGCGGTACCTCTAAAGATTAAATACGAATGAGGCATTTACTGACCCTGATTAACATATATTAACCTTTCTTCAAGAATATAACATTAGGGAACCAGCATTTAGCGTAATGGCTATGTCGCTGGACTCCCACATAGTCGACCGTGGTTCGCGTCCTGGACCCGGTGGCTTAAAACTCACGCCGGGCGCGTGTGCGTGCGTGCCCAAGATCCCAAGAGGAGAATGGAGGAGAAGGGATTGCGGCGTGACCATCCCCTCTGGGGGGTGATTTCTCGCTTTCTGTCTCTATGTCTCTCTCTGTCTGTCTGGCGAGCACACACGCCCTATAGCGAAAACCTCTCAAAAAAAAAGGAATATAACATTAGTGCACAACTTACTCAATGGCAAGAATACAATGTTGGACCTTTCAACCACTAGAACAAAATGTATTTAAATTGATAGTTGCAGAATTATAGAGTGTTTTTACATCGATCTTTTGCTAATGCAATTAGCAATATGTTTTGCATGTATAACTTAATAAATCCTTGAGTCAAAAAAAGAAAATGACATTAGTTATATCACTTATATCTCCATTATACTTTGCTAGGAACTAATTAATAAATAAAATAAAACTCTGTTCATTGTATAAATTGACATCTTTAGATTTGTCTGGCTTTGAGTGTGAAATGTTTGAGGCCACCTTTATAGTCTGGTAGTTAAGGGAACTGAATCCCACATGGCTGACTGCATGGTTTTGAGATCCAAATCTGGTGCCTTGAGAAACACATCAGACATGTATGTGTGCATGACCAAAGATTTCTAAAGGAGAGAGAAAGAGAGGAGAAGGGATTGTAGTGTTTTCTTTTTTCTCTTTCTCCCTTTCTGTCTTTTTCTGGCAAGTGCATATGACCTATACCAAAACAAACAAGCTAAAAACAAACAAAGGAAATGTTTGATTTTTTTTTTTTTGGAAATGTTTGAATTTTAAAAAACTGATTTTGGGGGGGACCAGCAGAAGGCTTAATGGTTGCATCACTGGACTCCCACATAGTTGACCACAGTTCGAGTCCTGGACCCAGTGACTTAATATTCACTCTGGGTGTGCGTGTGTGTGTGTGTGTGTGCGCACCCAAAATCCCAAGAGACGAATGGAGGAGAAGGGATAACAGCATGGCCATCCACCCCCGGGGGATGATTTCTTGCTTTCTGTCTCTCTGTGTCTCTCTCTGGCAATCAGGGGAGGGTACATATTCTATAGCAAAAATCTCTCAATAAAGAAATAAATAAAAATTAAAACATTAATTTTAAAAAAAGTATTCTTTAAAAAAAAATTTTTCCTCCTGAAATAGTTAACATTTTATTTTATTCACTTAAATACATCTTTCCAAACTAAAGATATGAAAGAAGTTGCATGCTACAATACAATTTCTAGACATTTTTGTGTAATTAAAATACAATTAATGCAGCATTTTTCATAATGTGTTATAGTGAGGTATAAACAACATCGAAAACTGTTGGGTCTTGGGCTTAGCTCTGATTTTCTTAAGTAATACTTTCATATTTATCATTGTTAGAATAAAATACTGGAGTGATATGGGTTCTTTTGTTGTTGTTTCTAAATCTTACCATGATTAGTAAGACAGTCATTTGTTTTCTAGATTGATGACATTGTAAAAGCTGTTGGTAACTGCAGTTACAACCAACTAGTGGAGAAGATCATCTCTTGTAAGCAGTCAGACAATAGTGAGCTGGTTAGTGAAGGTGGGTGAGTGCTATTACCTGACTTTTTTGTTCTCAGCAAAATAACTCGTCTTACAATTTAATATTTTTCAAATTTCTTAAATAAGACTTCTAAAAAATGCAAGTGATACTATACATAGGAATTAAAAGAGATAATTATTGGGGTCGGCAAGTGGCGTGGTGGTTAAAGGTTCTGGACTCCCACATGGCCAGCCATAGTTCAGTTGAGTCCCAGACCAGGTGGCTTGCTTTATCACTTTCCTCCTCTCTCTTTCTTTCTCTTTCTGTCTCTCTCTCTCTGTGTACCTCTCTGGTCAAATTAAAATAAATAAATAAAGTTAAAATAATAAAAATAATTTTTTCAAAAAAAGATAATTATTCATAAAGATGCCAGCGAAAGATTTTTCCTAGAATCCTTTACACTTGATTTGAAAAGCCAGGCCTAGATTCTAATAAAAGTTCTTTGGAAATCACTTGCCAGCTTCAGTATGGTCAATTACCTAGAGATTATTATTAATTACTCTTAAAAAGGGTTATTCAGGAGTACTGAGTGGACTTTGATTTATCCTGAACACTGCAGTTGACTGAGATGAGCATTGTGGTGCTTAAGTGTTCTATTGTACTAGCTGTCTGCCTTTTGTTTCAGTACAATACGTCCAGTATGTTGGGGCCCTATTCTGGATCAGAGTCTGCCCCTGTACAAGTTTTTCTAAATCTTAGCTAATGAAAATTGCTGAATTCACAATCACAAAAACAGCTTTAATGTTTTTTTCAGCTGTGTTGGTGGTCAATGATAAAAAAATTGAAGCCAGAATGTTATATGGAGCTATAACATTTGGATTGATCTTCCCACCTCCCATTTTATATTTCTATAAATTCTCCTTTCTTTGAAGGGTAAACAAAAGAAAGAGAAATCATGAGAAGCAGAGAAATTTTTCACCATTCTTTCTCAGACACACAATTCTTAAAACGTGGAGACTTGTCGACCAGCAGATGGTGTAATGGCTATGTCACTGGACTCCCATGTAGTCAACCGCAGTTCACGTCCCGGACCCGGTGGCTTAGAACTCACGCTGGGCGCGTGTGCGTGCGTGCCCAAGATCCCAAGAGGAGAATGGAAGAGATGGGATTATGGTGTGGCCATCCCCCCTGGGGGGTGACTTCTCATTTTCTGTTTCTCTTTGTCTGTCTGGCGAGCGCACATGCCCTATAGCAAAAATCTCTCCAAAAAAAAATAAAATGTGGAAACTTTACAACGTTTGTGGAAAAATGGGATTGTGAGGGTTTTTTTTTTGGTTTAAAAATTTTGAAAGGCAGACATAGTGTTTCATAATATACATTTTTCATGAACTTCTTGAAGACTCTTGTACATGAGGCATAATAAAAGTTGATTATAATTACTATATTTAAAAAATTAAAACTAGCAACTATAAGAATATATAAGAGCATATAAGAGATGTGTACATGAACTGTATATTAATTAGCCAGAACCAAACTAAAGTAATAAGAATATACATAGTATTTTAGTGGAGGTTTTTCCTGATCTACTTGCACTAAGCATATAGAGACATTGATCACCAATTTGTATGACAATTCTTTTACTACCACTTAAGGTTTAAATTTTAGGAGAGAAAAGAACAACAAAAAAATGTTATGAACATTTTTCTTTCAAGTAACAAAATTTCACACACTAGAACTTTGGCATTCAGACCCAAGCTGTCACTACTTTAGACATATTCCTGAAAAGAAGGCTATATGAAAATTTGTTTGTAGAATCCAACTTTTTCAGTAATACTCAATAAAATTAGAGTTATGCTGTTTAGAAGAAATCAAAGGAACCATAGGGTTTAGAAAGTCGTAACAGACAGAATGACAGCCTGGAGGTAATACTCAGTGAACAGATTTACAGGGGAAGAGGCTGGGAACTATTGGTGCAGCGTCTCTTACCCAGCTGACCTGCTGTGCCGGGGTGAGACTTGGTAGTATACTGATCAACAGAACGAACAGCTAAAACATCAGCCCCTTCAGCCCCTTCATCACTTCTCTTTTTTCTTAACTTCATGTTACATTTATTATTTCTCTGTCAGTGACTTCTCAGGATAGTGAAAAACTGTAACTAATTAATGAGGTATTGTTAATTTGAGAAGAATATCTTGGTGAAAGTAAGGAAAGCATCACCCTCCATAGTGGTTTAGAATGTTCAAGTGAATATACTGGGAATATTTATAGATTAATCCCTTCACATATATATTTCATAAATTCTACATATCAGATTTCCCAGTGAAGGGATAATTATATGTGGAATATCCTACGATTAAAAAGTTAATTTTTTGTTTACAAAAGCTACAGATTTATTTACTTATTTATTTTCGAAATAATTATTAAATGCCATTGGTTACTTATGTGAGGCAATTAGAAATCATATCACAGGACCAGCAGATGGCATAATGGCTACGTTGCTGGACTCCCATGTAGTCGACTACAGTTCAAGTCCTGGATCCAGTGGCTTAAATTCACGCCGGGTGCGTGTGCATGCGAGAAGAGAATGGAGGAGAAGGGATTGCAGCGTGGCCATCTGCCCTGGGGGGTGATTTCTCACTTTCTGTCTCTCTGTCTCTCTCTGTCTTTATGGTGAGCGCATGTGCCTTATAGCAAAATGTCTCCAAAAAAAGAAATCATATCAGATAGAAAAGACCACAATGGACATTTTTATTCACATTGTAGCAGTTAGCTTTCCTCCTTCATTTTTATTCATCATATTTTGAAGACTCTTGTACATGAGGCATAATAAAAGTTGATTATAATTACTATATTTAAAAAATTAAAACTAGCAACTATAAGAATATATAAGAGCATATAAGAGATGTGTACATGAACTGTATATTAATTAGCCAGAACCAAACTAAAGTAATAAGAATATACATAGTATTTTAGTGGAGGTTTTTCCTGATCTACTTGCACTAAGCATATAGAGACATTGATCACCAATTTGTATGACAATTCTTTTACTACCACTTAAGGTTTAAATTTTAGGAGAGAAAAGAACAACAAAAAAATGTTATGAACATTTTTCTTTCAAGTAACAAAATTTCACACACTAGAACTTTGGCATTCAGACCCAAGCTGTCACTACTTTAGACATATTCCTGAAAAGAAGGCTATATGAAAATTTGTTTGTAGAATCCAACTTTTTCAGTAATACTCAATAAAATTAGAGTTATGCTGTTTAGAAGAAATCAAAGGAACCATAGGGTTTAGAAAGTCGTAACAGACAGAATGACAGCCTGGAGGTAATACTCAGTGAACAGATTTACAGGGGAAGAGGCTGGGAACTATTGGTGCAGCGTCTCTTACCCAGCTGACCTGCTGTGCCGGGGTGAGACTTGGTAGTATACTGATCAACAGAACGAACAGCTAAAACATCAGCCCCTTCAGCCCCTTCATCACTTCTCTTTTTTCTTAACTTCATGTTACATTTATTATTTCTCTGTCAGTGACTTCTCAGGATAGTGAAAAACTGTAACTAATTAATGAGGTATTGTTAATTTGAGAAGAATATCTTGGTGAAAGTAAGGAAAGCATCACCCTCCATAGTGGTTTAGAATGTTCAAGTGAATATACTGGGAATATTTATAGATTAATCCCTTCACATATATATTTCATAAATTCTACATATCAGATTTCCCAGTGAAGGGATAATTATATGTGGAATATCCTACGATTAAAAAGTTAATTTTTTGTTTACAAAAGCTACAGATTTATTTACTTATTTATTTTCGAAATAATTATTAAATGCCATTGGTTACTTATGTGAGGCAATTAGAAATCATATCACAGGACCAGCAGATGGCATAATGGCTACGTTGCTGGACTCCCATGTAGTCGACTACAGTTCAAGTCCTGGATCCAGTGGCTTAAATTCACGCCGGGTGCGTGTGCATGCGAGAAGAGAATGGAGGAGAAGGGATTGCAGCGTGGCCATCTGCCCTGGGGGGTGATTTCTCACTTTCTGTCTCTCTGTCTCTCTCTGTCTTTATGGTGAGCGCATGTGCCTTATAGCAAAATGTCTCCAAAAAAAGAAATCATATCAGATAGAAAAGACCACAATGGACATTTTTATTCACATTGTAGCAGTTAGCTTTCCTCCTTCATTTTTATTCATCATATTCTCTTAGATATGTTTAATTGAAAGTAGTCTGTTTTCTTTTATTTGTTTTCTTTTATATTTAGCCGACAGCTGAAGCTTTCCTTTTTCAGTCAATCCAAAAGCTAATGTACTTCTGATCTTTATTGTTTAAAATTAGGCTTCGTGGCTGCACCATGGCACAGTGGTAATGCACTGCTCAGGAGAAGCGTGATCTCACACGGCGATAGCCTGAATCCCCGGCCACATGGCCTGAACCCCGTTGGGCATGTGTATGAGTGCCCACGGTCTGCCAGACTGGAGAAATGGGATTGAGTCATGAGCAGATGTTGGGACTAGCAGATGGCATAATGGTTACGTTATTCGACTCCCACGTAGTTTGCTGCTGTTCAAGTTCTGGACTTGGTGGCTTAAACTCATGCTGGGTGTGTGTGTGTCATGCCCAAAATCCAAGAGGAAAATGGAGAAGAAGGGATTGTGGTGTGGCCCTCGTGATTTCTCACTTTCTGTCTCTCTGGTGAGGGCACACACCCTAGAGCAAAGATCTATCTCTTTCAAAAAAGAAGAAAGAAACATGAGCAGACCCTAGGGAGGGTATCTCCCTTCTCTTTCTCTCACGCATGTACATATATGCTGTAGGAGTAATAAAGAAAAAAATTAATTAAGCTTTGGCACTAGATAGCTCTTTTTTTTTTCAATTGCATTAGGACATGTGTGCTCACCGGAGAGTTGGAAAGTGAGAAATAACCTTCCAGGGGGATGGCAATGCCACAGTACTTTTTCTCAATTCTTCCCTTGGGATTTTGGGTACATACACACATGCACCAAGTATGTTTTTCAAGTTGCTGGGTCTAGGACTCAAACTGTGGAGTCAACA